CAACCACCATGTCAAGTCATGATCTTGGTTATATAATTCTTAAACATTGAGTTTTTTAATAATTAACCTTTATAATTGAATTTAATTTCTTTTCGACTGGATTATCCTAATATCATAACTAGGTTATAGATTTTACATGCTAATCCAAGTAAACTTGAATTTTTTTTTGTTTTTTTATATTTTTTTTAATTTAGTCCTTTAATATTTTATTTGTTAGAAATTAAATTTTAAATTTTTTCTATTTTACTTTTTATGAAATTATTATATTTTCATTTAATATGCTCTTTGTTACCAAATAATATCTATCAAAATTTTATTGATTTGAAATTGATTTTTGTGCTTTTATATATATATATATATATAGTTTTTCTCAATCTTATACTAATAATTATGAGACTAGCATATTTATTTTGTTTGGTGAGTTTTTTTATTGCTTAAAAAAACTATTTAATACATATTTTTTTGAAATACTATTTTTTTAAGATTTAATAAGAGATTAACCATATTAAAATTTGTATTAATATACAAAACTATTTTAGAATTAATTAAATAAAATTTACCGGCTTAAAAAATCTCTTTATTTTATAAAGATTTTTCTAAACTAGTGAAAAATCATTCCTTGATTCAAATGATATAATCTATTTTTAAAAAATTAATTAAATAAAATTAAGTAAATCACATGTTACTTTTAAAAAAAATAATGAAAAATAGTATTATTTGATTGAATAAATAAATTCAAGTAAAAAAAATTAATATTCATGCATAAGATTCACAATTTAACCTCTATAATTAATATATCAAATAATCAATTGATTTATCAAAAAACAAAGAAGTTATATCAAAATCACAAACAATTAAGTGGATAAATTGTGGTTTTGCCTCAAAATCATAAAACCTAGCCGATAGCGATTGAAATACAATTAAGTATAGAGAGAGAGACATGGTGACCTCACTAGGTTGCTCAACTTCGCTGACCTTGACAGAGAAGCTCTTAAGAAGCACATCACCACAGGTTATGGTGGTGGAGGTTACATCTTCCATATCTCTTGCTTTTTGCTGCTTCCACTCTCTTTTTCTTACTCGTTGTGTTGTTTTTTTCATGTTCTGTGCTTCTCCACTGGTTTTTTCTTGCTTTTTTTCACCGGTTCTTGTGAATAAATGAAAGGAAAGAAAGGCAAAAAAACAACATTAGTCCTATATCTTCTAACTACAAAAGCTAAAAAATAAAAAGAAATAGAGAAATATTAAAATACCAAAAATAGAGTTGTTCTTTTCTGATGGGGGCTTCACTTACTAGTTTAATTAGAGAAAGAGTAACGGAGAGAGGTTGTCTTCTTGAATCTTGGTCTAAGAAATTCGGTGACCTGGAGAAAGAAAGCAGAGGAAATGACTCTGATGGTAAAAAAGCTACGCATCAAGTAAAAATAAAAAGAGAAATCATAAAATAAAAGCTAAAAATTGTAAATAAATAAATAAATACATAACTACGACGACGATATTTTTACGGCAAATAAATGTAAATAGCGAGAATGGGAAAAGGTGTAAAGCTTATTAGCTTCTTTGATGATAATATAATTATATCTATGGACACCAGGGAAGGAAAGGACTGGTGGGAGTAATTTAATTAGAGTGGGTCCCTTGCCTGGTTGCAAGTGCACGTGAATCGGTGAAACGTGATGGCCTAGAAGCCCTACATCCATGTGGCACATGCTCCATTGGGGTGGACAAAAGTGTTCGTTTGGTTGCATGCTCATTCTAAATTACGAAACTGCTAGCTTTAAGACGCGTCCGAAAAAGCCTGCAGCTTCTTTCTTGATGGGCCTTGCCAGAAGGGAACCTGTGGTGAAGCATCATGGTGGTTTGCTTAGAGAATGTTTGTTCATGTGATTATTTCTGTTATTGCAATAAATTATAAAAAACAAGTAATTGATAAAATATAATTTTTGTTTACGAGACTTAGTATAATTTGTTTTTAAAATACAGGCAGTCTACGACAGCTTCAAGCTGTTTCTTTTATTTTTTTTGTTTTTACTGTTCACATGAATAGTAAAAAATATTTTTATTATTTCGATTCAACAAAATTCGGTTCAAAATCTAAATGTATTGAATCAGGTCCGATCTAGTCAAGCTATTTCTCCCTTTTTTTTTGTTGTTTCTACTGTTCACATGAACAGTAAAAAATATTTTTATTATTTTGACTAGATAAAGTTCGGTTCAAAATCTAAATATATTGAATTAGGTCCAATCTAGTAAAATAAAAATAAAATAAATTTTTTTATTATTCATTGTATTTCATTTAAAAAATTAGTGTTTAATATTATTCAATGACACTATATAAATTAAAAAAAGATCGCATGATGACGTAACATTTACAGAATTTAATCTCAATCACGATTTTGTTCCTGATAATATTTTACCTAATGTTGTTGTATGCTTAAGAAATTATGAAAATTGTAATTCTTGTCAGATGGATTTCGTATGTGATGGAATTGTAAATAGTTTAATGAAACAATAGAAAATATTTTATATAAAGTATTTTTTTATTTTAAGATGTAATAACAGTAATTAAATCTACAATATTTAAATTAAAAATCATCAATATTAATATATATCTTTTTTAATTATTTTATAACCTTAATTTGAAAAGCATTCTATATATATATCAAACCAACTTCAACCAAATTTTTTTTTTATAAAATAATTTTTTCAAACCATAACCATAAAAATTACCACAAAACCAAACGTACTTATAAAACCTTGCATCTGCGTTCCATTCCGGCCACTGTATTTTTCCATTAAAATATTCAAGCGTTACAATTATATTTTTTAATATCTTTTTAAAAAAATTCAATAACTCAGTTTATAATCTTAACCAACTAAATAAACTCATTTTATAAAATCAATACATTGTTTGTTTGGATTGAAAAATAAAATTACATGCTTTGACCAAACACAAATGATGTGTTATTTATCTTAACTATCATTTGTAATTTCATTTGTAATTTACAGGATTTTAGCTACTGGAATGACTAAAAAAAGATATATTTTTTATTTAAAAATAAAATTTTAATTTATTTTGATCTAAAACACATAAAAATTATGTGCATCAACTAACTCTGATATCCTATGTGCATAAACATGTTTTAACACATAAATTTTTTTAATTTATTTTAATCTAAAACACATAAAAATTATGTGCATCGACTAACTCTGATATCATATGTGCATAAACATGTTTTAAGATCAATATTATTTTATATAAACAGTCTCCCATGAAATATGATTCAAATCCATTCAAAAAAATTATGAAAAGTATGATTAGTCATGTCACGAGTTATCACCATAATGATATATAATTAATGAGATAATAATATTGAAGCACTTAAAATTTATAATTTAATTGTTGTTTTATGTTGTTTCTGTATTTTGAAAATTTTCATTTTACATCTTATATTTTATAATATTTTATAAGTTGTAAAACACTTTACATTTACTAAAAAAATCAACAAAAAAATTGGAATTATTTACAAAATTCCATTTTATTTCACTTAATAATTAAAAAACATATGCTATGTTAGAAAAATGGTGTTGCCACTCTCTCCACTCTCCCTCTCTTTTCCAAACATAAAACCCTAGCCACCGCCGATCTCTACCATACTCGCTGGAATCTTGATGCAACTAGACTCCATAATATACCCACTCCTGCAACCCATCTTCAAATGTTCAGATAGTTTTGTTGTTTATCACGCTTGAAGGGACACCTTATTTTAAACAAAGATGTAATTGCTTCAAATAACAACATTTTTGTTGTTCAACCTTCGTGAAAACACTTAATCTTTCTTTCAAACTTTTAGTAAAAACTACACGAAGTCTTATTTTTTTGCCCCACACCCTTAACCTATTTTGTTTGGAAGTATTCTAGCTAGGAAGTTACAGGAAGACCATAGTTGAGGTTGTAATTGAATCAATTCTCTAATAAATTTTAAATTTTTTTGTTTTAAATTAATTTTTTAATATTTTTTATTTATTTCGACATACTAACATCAAAATTATTATTTTTTTAAATATTTTTTTAAATATTTTTAAATAAAAAAAATAATTTATATCACACTTTCAAATTACCCTAAAACATCATACCAATAATTAAGCACAATAAAAACAAACCATTAATTAACATCTCTTTGTTGCATGTCTAGAACAATATAAATTTGAATTAAAAAGGAGGTTCTCGAACATAGATATTCTTACTATCATGATTTATGATGATCACGTAAATTGTTATATATAAGTTAATGTGTAGGATAAAGAAAAAGCATAATGGTTGGGGGACCATAAACAATCCATACCTCTAGTTACCAATAAAATAAAAAAGAGATCTTGCTCACATGGTTGCATGTGACGGGGATGGGATGTTCTTGTTAATTTTGTTAATTTCCCTTTAATGATTATTATTATTATTACTACTTTTATATTTTTTCCAAAATCAAACCCATAATTCTCCTCTTTTACTTATCTATTCTTATTTCCACAATTGTAAATTTTACCAGATGAACACTCAAATATCAAACAATTCTTTAATTTATCTTTTTATCATTAAGTTTTCGAATAAAATAGTGATTTGGACACCCAAATCGAAAATATTATCGGTTTAGAAATAAAAATAAAAATATTTACGTAAGACATTACCTTTTGCACAAACATATAGATTTAAATAGATTATTTTGTCGAATTTATATCAAAACCAAGACTTAGCATGTATTTACATAGAACTAAGCGGACAAAAATACGCCACTTCATTAAAAAGTTAATTCGGACCCCACACTTCAAATCTCAAACTTGAATGAGTTTTTATCTTTTACCTTAATAATTATTTTTCAGAAGAAAAAAAATCTCATCACAATCATTTTCACACATACACCTATATAATTGTAAAAATCTTGTTTTGTTTTGTTTTTATATACCAATCAGAAAGTCTTTATATGTACCCCACAGCGCACTCGTAAAAGTGGGCGTTTTGCGAGCAAAATGTTCTCTTGTGAGTGAAGGGAACCCTCCTCTTCTTCTCTACAAAGCTGCTTGCAAGATTATATGTATGCTAGAGTGGTCCATTATATTTTGTATGGGCATGCTCCATCTCCCTCTCTCTCTTCAGTTCTTTCTCTCACTACATTTTCAATTCAAGAATACCAAAATTAAAGGGATGTGAGATCTGAGAAGATTTGAAGGTGTTTTATTTAATTTTGTAAGTCCTGGCCATGCTTTTCCACAGCTTTCTTGAACTTCCTTGCCGTGCTTAAGTCTTGTGTGTGTGTGTATAGATCACTATATATCTGTATAGTTATTCTTGTTTAGCTAGCTAGCACCATGGAAGCTCAAGAAAGCCGTGGGAGAACATGGCAACTCAGGATTTTTTGGGGCGATCTGTTTCTTGCTTTTATGGTCAAGATCTCTCCCATGGACTGCATCCAAGAAGCTTTGATCATCTTCCTCCTTGCATGGATCATGGTAACTCTCTTGTAATTTAGACCCTTTTTTTGCATAACTTTTTTAATGGTTTTAATTTCTTTTTCTTGTTCTGTAAGGAAAATTCTCTTCTAATCCATGAGAATTCTTCACCAAGATTTGGTTTTTGTGATGAATTATGATACGGGGTTTCATCCTCCGTGATATTTCCACCATAACTTCCCCCCTTTTGCTGTTAGAGAGGAGAAATTAGGCTTCAAACCATTTAAACCATGCATGAAGAGAGTAACAGAACATTTTGAAGTCTTGTTTAGTAATTGGAAATTCAACTTTCCTTAAGATTAACATAAATAATGGTCATTGAATCAAAATTGTGAGGGGGAAAGAAAAAGAGTTGTGTTTTGTGTTCCTTGCAGGGAAGATTCCGTACCTTTACTTTTCGTTGTTGATGATAGTTCTTCCTGTTGGTTTTTTGGTTTATTTCTAACATGATCTCCTACGTTTCCGTGAAAAAGGTTTAACTTTGTCACTTTGTTGACATCATTTTTAACCACTCTCCCACATTCTGACATCAGTGTTTTTTCACCTCCCCCGTTTTCTGGTAGTTGAAGATTTGTGCATTTATACAATAATGTATAAATTATTGGGTTTTGATTACATTTCTCAGATGTTAATTTAGCTGATGATCTCAACTTGAACAAACCTACACAATTATTATTGTTCTTTTGAATCTTGATATCTATCTCAAAGCCTTTGTACTATGTTCTGCATTGCAGTCCATGAAAATTCCCATAATTCTTTATATAATTCTTGATTCAGTGTTAAGTTGCAGAGAATCATTGCAACTTGGAGTGTGGCTGTTGGGATTCCTAATTATCTCTCTCTTTTAGTTTTTCTTTTAATTTCAACGAATAATGTATTTTTGTTTTCTAATTTCAAGCGCTCTTGATCGAAATACAACGTAAATTCCTCTTCATTCCTAGGAAGTTTTTCTTTTTTTGGTCTCTTAGATAAAATTTTGTACTTCCAAACTGTTTCGAGGATTCAAGGCATATAATTTTATTATAGTCTACAAGAAATGATGTAGAACAGTTTAACTTTCAGTTTAGATACCAATTTTGTTTCTACTATGATGCTTGGCATGTTATGATGACCAGATGGGGTTTAACCAATTAAGGACAATCTGCAACTTGCAGAAAAATCTCATTGGCTTGTTACAGCCAAATAAATAAAAAGTGAATGGCCTCTCACTAGCACTTCTTAATTTGTTTGCTCTTTCAACCACTTTTTTTCCTTTCCTTTCCTTTCCTTTTATTTTTGGTTTTCTAGAATTATACGAGAATATAATTTGCTCTGGCATGTAGCTAATCTCATCATTGCAGATCAAACATCAGATACTGCTGCTCACATCTTAGGCTTTCTAGGTCTAAAGCATTTATAAATTATCTGCCCCAAATCAATCAGATCCCATCAAATTTGATTACAATAATGAAACCTTTTTTTTTATTTAATTTCTTGATACAGTTGAAAATACTAGATAGAGCCCTTGATTTATTCCAAATATAGTAGATATAGAAGGATTTGAAACAAGTTTTCTTTTTAATTTTCCTGAATCTCATACATTGCAAGGGATAGTTCTTGGTTTGAAGGAAGAACTAAAACTACAAAGGCTGGTTGTGTGTTTACAGTGTATGGTCATAAGTGTAATGGGGAAAAGGCCCATTAGACAAAAATAATGAAGCTTTGTTAAGGGAATCTTTACCTAATCAAATATTGAAATATGAAAAGCCTATTGCTTTTAATGTTGAGAATGAAAGAATGCTGATGAAGGGGCATGTCCACCAAAACTAGTTTATAATAGGGCAGACAGGGGGTCATGGCAGACCTGATCAACACCTCAAGATAAATATTGTTAATGCACTGAATATAGTTTCTAATATTAGACTATTAGCATTCATTTAGCATTCAAGATATGCCTCGTCCATTAGTATTCATTGAAGTCAGCTTGGAGCGAATAGACAACATGGCAGCTAAAGGTCAAAGAGCAGCAATAATTTAAATATTTACGAACTGGTATATATATTTTTCGCAATGCATGAATATTGTTGTTCATGGAGCATTCGAGATAAAAGCTGAAGCAAGCTTTCGTTTCCAAAAACAACAAGGAATCTCAGAAGTGCTGACCCAGCTATGGACAATCGTCCAAATTTCTATGGTGGGATGGCGTTCAGGCTGATTGATTTGGCCATTAGGTATAGAACAAGGCTGTTTTTACCATTTTTCGTACATAGCCTGGTTTCTCAAGTAAATGGCTTCTCACGTGTCCTTGGAAGTGTTTTCTCTGTAGCGAACATAACCTATTCTTCTTGCCATCACCTCCTTTTTTGTTGGATGTGTGAAATGATCTTATCAAGAAAATTAATTCCAAACGTTCTGCATGAGAAAGCCGCCAAGGAGATGTCTAGCTAGGAAACCAAACAACCACGTTACAAAAAGAAAAGAACTAATGGTTTGCAATGATCACCTCCTTTATATATGAAGGCTGAAAGCTTAAGAGATGTGGAAAGCTAGCCAGGGCATCATACCAAGGTACGATCTCCCAGCACAACAGTACTCTATAATAATTAATGATGTGAAATAATTCTTCAAGAAACTACTCTTTTGACAATCATATATATAATGAGTTGTGCTTCAAGATCAGGTTCTCGATCGGTGGTAATTAATAATTTACAACAAAATATATGTACTGTACTTATTGTTTCACAGTTGAGGAGCATTGTTCACGATATATATTAGATGATGTTCTATGGCGATCGATCTTCCATTTATATCTCCACAATCAATCTTAATTAGATTTCAATTGATGCATTCTCTGTTCTTTAGACATGTATTTAAGCAAAACTAAAGCTATCACACATACAACATTGTTTTGGTACAAGATGTGACATTTTAAGCACCGAATAAAAAGATGCGACCCTTCTTTTGAGAAAAAAAAGAAAAAAGGGTTATGGCTAATTCACATGGAATAACTGTTCACTATAAATTTTTTAAATAATAATAATAATATTTGTTAGAGAATAATATAAATTATATTCTGAATCTTAATACTTAAACTATTAAATTAAATTATTTTTTTAATATGATATTAAAATCTTGATAACCAAATAATTACGAATTCAAATCTTATTATTTTTTATTTATTTATTTAATAAAAAATAAATACAAGTTAATAATTTAGATATTTTTTTGATAATATTTTCTAACTGGGAAGAATGTAGCCACGAAAGTTTCCCATGGCTTTAATTTAAATCTATCAATTAACTGGATATACAGTCCATAATTCCCCATTTCACTCGCTTTTAACTGTAACTTAACTCACAATGAAGGACCATTAGCAGCAGCCAAAAACATCATAATCAAGCTCATTACACCATTAGATCGGTCGGGGCATTGTGTATGAATCACGGATGGTCCAATTGAATCAATCACAACAGACGTGGTTGCCCCATGTGCCAACATTTTCTGGATATTGAACTACAACTTGATACATGTATCTGTGTACGCATAATTATATGTATATAACCAAGGATAGATGCTATGTAGTTTCAATTGATACGAAAAGAAAATCAACTTGTCACATAATCTAAAAGAGTACACTCTGGAAAATTAACTATGGGCAACATGAAAGGGAAATGGCAGAGCCAAGCAATAATATCGCTGCTTCCATGTGGTGGGGAAACGGAACAGTCACGTCGCTATTGATACAAAACTAATGCTGCTCTACGATTGGAACAATTGGTCATGAAGCATCATATGAAATGCAAAAGCTAGCTTTGCCTTTTTATTTGATGTGAAAGTGCACAACAACAACGATAAATGGAAACTTTGTTGACCCTAAAAAGAAAGTAAAAGGTGGGAAAGTTTGGGTAAAAAACGTGTACAAACAAAAAATCAACAGCCATGAATGATCAGTACTTACTACCTTGTAAAAGAGAAGAATATATGTTACTGTTTATGCATGGTTGCAACACACGGTGCTGAGACTTTACTTCAGTTTAGCCTATATTGCCAACTATGATTCTAACTTTGAGATTTTGCTGTGTGCTAACTAAATCAGAGAAAGGATATGATGGATTTCCTTGTAAATTATAATCTGTGCTGACTCTCCAAATGGGGCTATTTCTATCCTTGCAAATAAAAGAAGTGGGGAGCATCAAGAGAAATTGCTTGATTCCATCGGAGGCATTAACTTTAACCTATTTATTTTATTTTTATTTGAGTTAATGACCTCCTCCATGCCAATTTGTGTAAATCCCGTTTGCCTGCTTTCAAACAAAATTAATAATGTTGGCATCTATATGCATGCATGCAAGTAATTTTACAGCTGAAAATTAAACTTGAAACCAAGCACTTGCCCACGTTTGGGACTGTGCGCTTGTATATAAAAATAAATTAAATACAAACCCGCTTCTTGGTCAGTATCATCGTCCTACAAGTACAGCTTTCGATTATCTTATAAAAATAAAATTATTGTTTTTTATTTTAAAAATAAAGATGCAATAGTGCGTTTTTGCTCAGCCCAACACAATCCAATAGTCAGTTGGCATTTGTCATTAAGACAAAAGAAATTGAAATTGTTTTAAAATAACATATAATTAAGGGTGCATGTCAGCTTTTATTCTCTTTCTTGTCTCAAAACAAAAGAGATAATAAAGCTTATCAATTAATTAGACCTTTAAGATAATTAATGAAAAGACTACCGAATTCATCAAATAATCTAAGCACCGAGACAAAAGTTACAGCACCATAGAAGCAGAATGTGCATCGATTTTCAACAATTGTATATTTTCTTGTGGTTAAATATTCTTTAATTCCCACATCTCCTTTCACGTTCACAAAGCACAAGAAAATCTAGCTTTTCCAACTCCTTCTCCTCTAAAGAAAAGCTAAATGTATATTAAATAAGACAAGCCAGATCCTGTATGTGATCCTAATTGTTTTCCTTTAAGAGCGCATGATTAGTGGAAATAATAAGCATGTCCCCCTCTAAAGAGGGGGTAATAATATAATTAAAAATTCACGACACTATTGAAATGAAAAGAATAAAGCAAAGGGTCATCCTTGATTGATTATAATAAATGATTATATTATTGAATTGCTTACAGCTAACAAAAAAAAGATTGATGATTAATTAATTAAAATATGTGTTGGATTAGTTAGCCACATTAAGAGATGCATCCCAAAATGTGTGTGCGTGTGTAACCCAAAAAGATGGCCTATAACAATTGGATGGATCATTCAGTTCCCCTTAATTTGATGTGTTTTTCCAGCTAAGTTCATGAGAAAGTAGACCCAACTTCTCTTTTTTTATCACCATCACGTTCTTTACATTGCTGTGTACTATTCACGCACAGAAGCTTAATTTTGAATCTGAGAATTAGGTATGTCATCATTTATATGGTTCATGAAAGTTGTTCATGCGAGTCATTTGAACATAGAAGAAAGATATATTGTTTCTACCATCCAAAGGACAAGGCAGGAACCTTATGATCTGACTAAATTCTGTTCGTTTCATTTACAGCTAGAAATCCAAATAAAGCAAGTGTTACTCAAGTTTCATTTCTCTATGTTTATGGGATTTCCATTAAATCTCCACCTAACATTAGTAATAGAGTTAGTGTTGAAATTGGGTGCTTGTAGGTGATGGTTGATTCCATATATACTGAGAAGGCAATATAGCAACCCTGTGTGGTCCATATATCCTATAGCTAAAAAAGATGCCTCATTTAATTTGATCGAAGATGACATGCCCAACATGATTTATAGACAGCGAAGCTTAATTTATATTTGAACAAAAAACAGCGAAGCAAATCAACAACAGACTACATCACCCTCGTCATGAAAAGGAATCTTCAGATCGGATGTATACAAGAAAAAAAAGACTGCACTTGACTATTACTGCATCAACCGACACGGTACAAACACATTATAGTGGGCGATCAAAGCATATGGCCTTGTAAATTAACTAATAGTATTATCAGTACAACATTTTTACCTAGTGAATCTAAAAACACTACTATTGTGCTGTAAAATCATCTAAAAAAATCCAAAATCTTACTTGTCATCAAAAGATATTAAACAGAGACAGGAATCTGAAGTAAAAAAGAATGATTCGTGAAGAGTATATCTATACCAAATAAATATATCTTTGTGTGGTCTCCTTTTGATGCAAGTACAAATGGAAGGACACTGTTGGAAGGAAGCAATGCGTCCAAGATACTCTGTGAATATCTGTAGTGCAAAACATAATCATTAACACTGTAAGATCTGTTTTAACATAAGAAAATCAGAATAATCAACAAAAAATACCCCTAATAAATATTAAAGAAATCTTGTTCCTTCCATATAGGTGGATCAGAAATGCCACCACTTCTTGTTCTCCTTCAAAGCATGAAACTTGCAAGAAACAAGAGATTGCCGAAGTCATCATGAATATTTGCAAGCATCAATTATCATCACACAATTTGGTTTTACAAAAACCCTAAAATCGACTGGATCCAAGAGATCGTATATCAACAAAAAAGAAATAGATCAGAGACCTTATACACTGATCATTGATGCAGGGCCCGATGAAGAAACATTAACTTTCTTTGATCCTGTTTGTATCTTCCCACAGCTTTATTGAACCGCAACAAAAAGACAATGTCATATGTATAGCCATGGCATGCACGGCGACATCAATAACAATATTCAAATAGGTGCAGTTCAAGAAAGCTGTGGAAGAATACAAAGAGGGTCACATATAGACCACCACAAAACTTAGATTTAAGTATTTTAGGAGCTTCAAAGCCCTCCATAAACAAACCTAGCAAGGTTTGTAAAGAGAAGGGAAGGGCAGGAGGGCTAAGAGAGAAGATAATTCAAAATATATAGGGATAAGAGAGAGAGAGCGAGCGAGCGAGAGGTGTTGTGTGTGTGGGTTTAGGGTGAGAAAGGCTGGTACTTATAGCGGATTTGAGGTCCTTTCTACCACCAATCCCAAGAAGAATATTGGGCCTGAGAAAACTGAACCCCACCAAGCTCCATCTTTAATAATTATTAATTATTTTTAATTTTCTTGGCAATTCTCTAACTACAGTTATTTTTACAGACAGCTGACTATTTTTCTTGATCCGACTAATCTCCTCACTACCAACAAAATGTTTTGATTAAAATATCAAAAAATCCCATTAATATATGTGCGGTTCTGATGCAAACAGCCGGATCTGACGGTGACGGTTACCCTTGTGAGGGCACATAGATGGGTCCCGCTATGCGTTGGAAGAAAAGTCTAACCCCTACGCGCCTTAAATGGCTACTTGAGCTTACCATTTTCTGAGTTTCTTTCCTCCTTTCAACGGCCAGCATAGGAAATAAGAAACACTACTTCACAGTTTTAGGACTTGAGGGAAGTGGAGGAATGATGCCTTGTGATTAAATCTCAGGCTTTTTCTAGGATCTTCGTGCATCGTAAATATTTCGGTGACGATTACCGTTAATTAAAAGTCTTTTTCAGAATTAAACTTTCGATAATTTAAGTTAGGAACGTGTAAGCACCACAAATTCAGTAAAAGCTTGCTATTAATTACAAGGGTTTTCAAGATTAAACTCTAGATAATTTAGGTTAAGAATTTGTCTACATAAAAAAAATCAGTAAAACTTGAAGTACCTAACACACCTATAGTATGGTGAACCAAAAAAGATTATAATTAGAAGTGTTTTCAACTCTACATAATTTACATTAAGGAATTGTCTACACCATATGTTTAGTAAGGCTTACTATTAATTACAAGTGTTTTGAAATTAAACTCTTAATAATTAACGTTAAAATATTTATACATCATAATTCACTATTTTTTAATGAATTGGAATATGTAGATTTTATTAACGAGGATAAATTAAGAATGAAAAAAAAAATAAGAACAATGAAGAAAAATCAAACATTAAATTAAAAGCCAAACATCGTTACCATAAGAACATGTTAAGTCCCTTAATCTTCATTTAATTAGTATACTGCCAAGAAATTCTTGTTACATAATTATAACAAGGAGTATCAATTATTAAAAAGTCAAGGATATATAATTCCTAAATACATCCTAATTATTTTATATTTTTTTGTGTTTGGAAATTCCAAATCTTAACAACTTGACCTTCAATGTCATGGAGTGTTCCATTTGAGACATCAAGCTATTAAGATGCAATATTTTTCATATATCTTTTTAAATTCTTAGATGCTTGTTTTGGGTAGTTTTGATTTTATTTAGCTCATTTCAAGTTGTTTGGGTAATAATTCAAGTTTTTAGCTTATTTGGAGGTTATGTATATACTTGGTTCTTGGTTGGAGAAGGGCTACATTATGGTGTTGAGTTTAATGAAATTCTAATTCAGGTTGCGTGATTTATGATATGAAGCACACACTTATGCTAAGAAAAAAGTCGAGTAAGATGGCTTCAAGGCTAAGAAGAATTAAAGACCTCCCTACATCATTAAAAGAAATTAGAAAAGATACTTAGAGTTTTATACGTCGAAAGGTTTTCAAAGACATTCACAGAGTGGGTTCTAGAAAAGAAACAAGAAGATTCACGGTTCTATTAGCAAGCATACCAATGAGTCGCTTTCTTTTACAAACCATGCAAAGCACCCAGTAAGAAAGGTTGTTTTAATTTCATGTATTTTTCTGAAAATGGTACCTATAATTTGTGTTTAGCTAATAGCCAACGTATTTATTTTGCAGGCTAGATATTTTGGGCGCGAGCGTATTCTAATAAAGTTGTATATAGAAACACATATATACAAAGGGAGAATCGAAAGAAAAGGGTGCAATAGTTTATTGATAGTCGAGTTGAGGTATTTATTATAAGTAGACTTTGAAATGTTTTTATATATTATATGGACTAATGTTTTTTCATGCATATATCTGACTTATTTTGTATGGTGTAAAAACAATATAACATCTTCATGTGTACAAAGTATGGAGACGACCCTTCAACTCATTCAGAACATAATTTAAATTTGTGATTAGAGGTTAAAGCAATCGGTGGACCCGATAAGAATCAAGATTACAATATATCTATGACTGCGATCTAAAATATGAGATTAGGTTATAGTGTCTTGATTATAGGCATCCTATAATCTAGCTCGAGTTAATCATCACCAATCATTGAGAAATTAGCTGAACAACGGGTTGGTGCTTTGATGGCCGAAATGGAGATAAAATATGAAACACAAAAAAAAAGAGCTATAGGAGATCATTATGAAGCATGCTTTTCAAGTCATTATCCTTCCCTTTACAGGCCTATAACTAGAGCTTTTAATTCATTTTTATATAAATTTGTTATTGATTTTATTATAAAAACCTTTTTCTTTAATTTAATTGATTTTTATAAACATTTGTAATTTTTTTTACATTATATAAAATTTGTTCTTCAATTTAAATTAGTTGTTTCATGTAGTTTAATGTCATTGTAAATTATTTTATAGCATTTAAAAAAAATAAAGACCGATGAAAATTTCATTGGTAAATGATCAACTATTTCATTAGAAAATTACAAAAAATTATTAATTGTTTAGATTCACCCCAACATAATCACTTATATAATATGTTATTTTTGTTCTATTTGCTAACACTAATGAAAATATTACCAATAAAAGTATTTATTGAAATTCCATCAATAAAAATCACCATGAAATTACTGATAAATATGACATTAATGATAAAAGACTTTCTATTATATAAACATGTTTTCATCAATAAATTATTCAGTAATTTTTATATCAACAATATTATTTTATTTACATTGAAAAATATTTCATTAATGTTTTGAGATTTTTTAAATGTGAAGGCATTGTAAGTACCTATCTTTTTATTATTATTATTAATGTATTGATATCATTCAAAAACAAAAAAAACCTACCATTACCGTTGACATCCATATGAATGTGCGACTTATAATCTTAGTATATTCATGATAGCGATGGAATGAAATCCGCTTAGGACTATTCTTGTAGCATTAGTGCTTGATATTGACTGAATTCATTAATTAATATACATGATAATGTTGATTTTTTATACATTAACAACGTGTTATAAATAATATATTAAATCCTATAATGTAATGATTTTGTAATTTTAAGGGTTATAATAAAACAGAATGATTATAACGGCAATGAGTCAATTAGACCTTACCAGCGATCACAATTAAAAAAAAGGCATCGCAGATAGTAATGCATAGACATTAAATAAAAGAAAAACTATATATATAATTAATCACATAGGAATCTGATTGCATTATTATTACTATTATTATTATTATTATTATTATTATTATTATGAGTGAATTTTAGTTTTTGGAAAATACAAGGACCATGCAAGATTTCAAATAAGAATCAATATCTAAATAAAAATAAAACTGGGGACCTAAAATAACTACTTTAACCTATAGGGACTAAAGGGAACTTTGTCGAAAACAAACCTCCGCTGCTGAAAACGCTTTCCAGTTAAACAAGAGACATAACATAAGATATACATGCATCGGTCCAAAATATTCGTTTTCAACTGGCTTCAATATTTCAACTGCGTGAGACTCAATACTCCAGAATTGCAGGTGGGATTAGTTCGACTTGATGGAAACCCTAAATTAAAGTTGAATTAAGCCTAAATTAAACCTTAAATGAAGTTCATGTTTACATGGAAGCATGTGAGGGGGTGACCCCACCATGGGAACATGTGTGGGTGCTGATAAGACACCGTTTTTCCCGGGACGGAGGTCGCTTTGTTGGCCTGGCCTTGCATGTATTGGTGGACATTTCTGCCTGTATTTTAATACCTGGCTAAATTACCGTAAGATTAATGTAGATGTCCAAACTTCATTTGTATTGATTTGAATTGATACAGATGAGTGGATTTTTTAGAGTTATTTTATTCTCTTAATAATAAGTAAGGTATAAATATTATATAAATTTATCCAAATCTAACCTAAGATATATACATGTATATCATATAAATATATAAATTTTATATTTCTGGATATGATATAATATATAAATATCTGATATATATACACACATATGCATATCGTTTTAATATATATACACCTCAAATAAACATATTATTATTTTATTTTATATTGAACAATAGATAATAACATCATAATAAATACTTATATAAATATTAAAAACTTGATTAATATGGTATGAATAACTAAATTTCTTGCTCATTAAATATTTTTTTATTTGAGTATAAATATCGTAATAACTTTATCAGATGCTATTCTTTATCAACTCTAATTAAAAATACTTTTAATAAGGATTTAATATATATATATACACACACACACTTCATCGTTTCTAGCTTTAAGTGTTTAAATCTTATATATTTATTAAATTGTGATGGATGAGATTCTTATAATTAAATCTTTTAATTTGGTATGATTTTTCTAGATTAAAGCGAGGGTGTCAAAGACATTTATTTACACATAACAACACATGGAGGCATGCACCTGGGAGGGAGGGAGTGGAATCATGTTTAACATATTTAGCTGGCAATCACTTTGCTAAACCCCATCTTTTCATCAGCAAAACCTTCAATTATTTGATTTGATTTGATTTAACACTATAATAATAATGTTTTCCATCTTTATTTTCGATCAACATCTATAGGGTGCATGGTTTCTTTGTGCTGCCTGGTAGAGAAATGGTGGCATTGGCCTCCTACATGTTTACATGATGAAGGGCAAGTTACAAATAGATGCTATGGTTTTAATTATTTCACTGCGATTAAAATACTGCTAATTTAGATGGCAGAGTAATAATTAAATCACCTGCCCACCATGGTTGGATGAATAGATGGATAGTCCTCCTTTTATTTTTCTTTTTAAATATCCACTGCTACAATGCTACATCCAATGGCAGAACATGAGATGTGAGTTTGGGAGCGAGATGGACA